TGAACCCCTCCGAACAATCAATCACTCACGATCTACAGACTGAAACATGAAGCAAGACTCACGGCTCATGGTGAACCACAGAACCAGCTGAGGAAACCTCCGTGAAGTTGGCCCCCCACCCAACGCAAAACGGTGGCAAAATAGTCTCAATCATTTGTGCTCCGTTTGTGCTGTAAAAAATTTTGTTTGTGCTGCTTTGGGTTTTTTAGATATTAAAATAATATTTATAGGTCATTCTGGGGTCACTCAGCCTCCCAACATACTCCAAATTCACCCCAAATAGTCTCGTTTGTTTGTGCTTCGTTTGTGCTGGTTTGTGCATGTAAAAGTTTCGTTTGTGCTGCTTAGGTTTTTAAAATATTAGACATTGAATCATAGGCGATGACGTCACTCAGCCCCCCCACATGCTCCAAATTCACGAAAAATGGTCTTGTTTGTTTGTGCTTCGTTTGTGCTGGTTTGTGCATGTAAAAGTTTCGTTTGTGCTGCTTAGGTTTTTAAAGTATTAGACATTGAATCATAGGCGATGACGTCACTCAGCCCCCCCACATGCTCCAAATTCACGAAAAATGGTCTTGTTTGTTTGTGCTTCGTTTGTGCTGGTTTGTGCATGTAAAAGTTTCGTTTGTGCTGCTTAGGTTTTTAAAGTATTAGACATTGAATCATAGGCGATGACGTCACTCAGCCCCCCCACATGCTCCAAATTCACGAAAAATGGTCTTGTTTGTTTGTGCTTCGTTTGTGCTGGTTTGTGCATGTAAAAGTTTCGTTTGTGCTGCTTAGGTTTTTAAAGTATTAGACATTGAATCATAGGCGATGACGTCACTCAGCCCCCCCACATGCTCCAAATTCACGAAAAATGGTCTTGTTTGTTTGTGCTTCGTTTGTGCTGGTTTGTGCATGTAAAAGTTTCGTTTGTGCTGCTTAGGTTTTTAAAGTATTAGACATTGAATCATAGGCGATGACGTCACTCAGCCCCCCCACATGCTCCAAATTCACGAAAAATGGTCTTGTTTGTTTGTGCTTCGTTTGTGCTGGTTTGTGTTGTAAAAAAAATTGTTTGTGCTGCTTAGATTTTTACGATATTAAAATAATATTTATTGCTCATTTTCTGAGGTCACTCAGTCCCCCAACATACTCCAAATTCACCCCAAATAGTCTCGTTTGTTTGTGCTTCGTTTCTGCTGGTTTGTGCAGGTAAAAGTTTTGTTTGTGCTGCTTCGGTTTTATAGATATTAAAATAATATTTAATGATAATTTTGATGTCACTCAGCCCCCCCCACATGCTCCAAATTTACCCCAATAGTCTCGTTTGTTTATGCTGGTTTGTACCGGTATTTTTGTTTTTACTGTCTTTTTTTAATAATACAGTTGAAGTAATAAGGTAAAATTCAAACGGCAAACCAAATCACATGAAATAGTCACAGTCACTTAATTGTTAGTAGCCATATTCGTTCAATTAGACCAATTAAACGGAAAAAAAAACTAGGCCTATTTCATTGTCTTTACAAAAAAAATAAATAAAGACTTGATATACATAGGCCTATTTTTGTTTCTGCGCACAAGGTATTATTATTATTATTTTTATATGAATAATAAAATCGCTATATATGCGCATTTCAAGTATTTGTGGGAGTATTATAGTATTATATGATATGGAGGCGCCCGCGCAATCTCTCCATTTTTTTTTCCTGCAGAAAGAACTTATAATAGGCTACTCCGTCATTTTTGGATGTGCTTTCCTCACTGTAAAATCCAATAGTTTACCTTACTTAGATTTAATTAGTTATCTTTACTTGTCTACTATTAAACAAACCAATTAAAAAAAAAAAAAATCTTCTCTAATTGTGGTTCATATGAAAAGGTGCGTTTCTCTATTAAAGGCACGTACATTAGCCTACTGTGGAGATGGCCATCAGCGTTGACTAATCTGTTGACTAGGAAAAAATCTTTAAAAACGAGTAGCGAAAACGAAAATATTACCAGCACAAACGAAGCACAAACAAACAAGACTATTTGGGGTAATTTTGAAGCATGTGGGGGGCTGAGTGACCTCAGAAAATGGACATTAAATATTATTTTAATATCTTAAAAACCTAAGCAGCACAAACAATTTTTTTTACAGCACAAACCAGCACAAACGAAGCACAAACAAACAAGACCATTTTTCGTGAATTTGGAGCATGTCGGGGGGCTGAGTGACGTCATTGCCTATGATTCAATGTCTAATATTTTAAAAACCTAAGCAGCACAAACGAAACTTTTACCAGCACAAACCAGCACAAACGAAGCACAAACAAACGAGACTATTTGGGGTGAATTTGGAGCATGTGGGGGGCTGAGTGACCTCAGAAAATGAACATTAAATATTATTTTAATATCTTAAAAACCGAAGCAGCACAAACTAAATTTTTTTAAGGCACAGACGAAGCACAAACGATTGAGCCTGTTTTGGGTGAATTTGGAGCATGTGGGGGGCTGAGTGACCTCAGAAAATGAACATTAAATATTATTTTAATATCTTAAAAACCGAAGCAGCACAAACGAAACTTTTACCTGCACAAACCAGCACAAACGAAGCACAAACAAACGAGACTATTTGGGGTGAATTTGGAGTATGTTGGGAGGCTGAGTGACCTCAGAATGACCTATAAATATTATTTTAATATTTAAAAAACCAAAGCAGCACAAAATCAATTTTTTACAGCACAAACCAGCACAAACGGAGCACAACCGATTGAGACTATTTTGCCGACGTTTTGCGTTGGGTGGGGGGCCAACTTCACGAAGGTCATTATGCAGTCGAACATTACATTTACTGTGATGGGTTTTGTCTTTCTGCTTATAGAGATTGTGTTTACCTGTGCCTGCTGAACAGTGGAACCAGCTTTGTATCTGGCTTTGCCATCTTTTCAGTTTTGGGCTTCATGGCCTTTGAACAGGGGGTTGATATCTCAACGGTAGCAGAGTCAGGTAACTTAAAGGGTTACTCCACCCCAAAATGAAAATTTTGTCATTAATCACTTACCGCCATGTCGTTCCAAACCCGTAAAAGCTTTGTTCATCTTCGGAACACAATTTAAGATATTTTGGATGAAAACCGGGAGGCTTGTGACTTGTCTCATTGACTGCCTAGTAAATTACACTGTCAGGGTCCAGAAAAGTATGAAAGACATCGTCAGAATAGTCCATCTACCACCAGTTGTCATTAATCACTTACCCCCATGTCGTTCCAAACCCGTAAAAGCTTTGTTCATCTTCGGAACACAATTTAAGATATTTTGGATGAAAACCGGGAGGCTTGTGACTTGTCTCATTGACTGCCTAGTAAATTACACTGTCAGGGTCCAGAAAAGTATGAAAGACATCGTCAGAATAGTCCATCTACCACCAGTGGTTCAACCGTAACGTAATGAAGCGACGAGAATTCATTTTTGTACGCGAAGAAAACAAAAATAACGACTTTATTCAACAATTCGTCTCCTCTGTGTCTCTCCATCACCGTAGCGCCATTTTGGAGAATATCTGCTGGACGCAAGCAGCGTACGCTCTTCTGTGTCAGTCGCGCTGCACAGATGCGCTGTTTTCGTTCAAATCAAAGCGTAAATACACGTAGAAAACGTAACCTTGTGTCGCGGCTGACACAGAATAGCGTACGCTGCTTGCGTCCAGCGGATATTCTCCAAAATGGGACTACGGTGATGATGTGATTAATGACAAAATTTTCATTTTGGGGTGGAGTAACCCTTTAAACAACAGCGGCTCCTTTGAGTCATGTCCTTTATGTCATTTCCTACACATTAAGTCTCAATTCACTTGTTTTACCAGGTCCTGGTTTGGCCTTCATTGCATATCCACGAGCTGTAGCTATGATGCCTCTGTCTCAGCTGTGGTCCATATGTTTCTTCCTCATGATTATTCTGCTGGGGCTTGACAGTGAGGTGAGAGCACATCATCTCTCAAGTACATAATGTGTTTGACTGTGTGAAAATTTCAGTTAGGTTTTTATTAACTACTGGCCAGATTAAGTTGTTTAACATAGCAGATATTTCATATACTACAGAAAACTTCATTACACAGTATCCTGTTAAAAGGTACCCTTGGTTCATGACTTTTGTGCATGCAGTACTAACAGTAAATATGTTATGTATTTTTTTCAGGGTAGTACTACATTAAAACACTGTAATTACACCTCTTTCTCTTTTTCAGTTTGTGGGTTTGGAGTCTCTCATGACAGCCATAACAGACATGAACTCCAACTACTTCCTCCAAGGACACCGTCGTAAACTCTTCCTTCTGCTCATTTGTGTGGGCTGCTTCCTCATTGGCCTCCTGATGGTAACAGAGGTGATTATATTCATAATTTAGTCATTACCGTGGGTTTATTTTGTTCTTAATGTTTGATATTTGTTCTTAATGGTCTAAGTTAGATCACTTAATGACCAATGTAAAAATATGAGATTTGAGCACTGATCAATGTGTTTTTTTTGCATCGGTTCAATAGGGTGGCCTGTATATCTTCCAGTTATTTGATTACTATTCCTGCAGTGGAATGACCCTCCTCCTTTTTGCCATTGCACAGTCAATATGTATTGGCTGGTTTTATGGTGAGTAATACTGAATCGACACTTAAAAACATGATGTATAAACTTGTCTGCCTTGCACAACTAATATTATAATGTTCTACTCCAGTATTTGATCATCATTTGATGAATTACTGCAGCCATGATCAAACAGATTGTAGGTTTTTGTGTGTAAATACTGAGCCAAAGATAGCACAACTTTTCTCATATGCTATTCAACCACCATACTATACAGTTATACTATTCGGGGACAACTTTACCTGAGTAATTGGAGCATTAAGTGCCTTCTTCAAGGACACTAGTTGTGCTTTACATAAAACCTGCAGTTTTTGTGTTGTTAGCTATGATTTTCAAGCAAAGCCACCACCATACTTCAGCATTGTGTTCATAGTATATAAAAAAAAATATATATATATATATATATACAGTGAACTGAGACTTGTTATAGCACTTGTATATCATTGCTCTTTTGTTGATTTTGATTGCTTCCATTGTCCTCATTTGTAAGCCGCTTTGGATAAAAGCGTCTGCTAAATGACTAAATGTAATGTAAATGTAGTAAAGTTTGGTCATGTCATGTGTCATAAAAAATAAGAAAAGAGTACAAAACTGGTGAGCCGTCTTTTAATATGTGCAGGTAATTTACTTGGTCACTTCCTCCTTATTGTTTTGTGTATAACCTCCTTTAAGACCTCTGATTACAATGTCTCCGGTTTTTCAGGTGCTGATCATCTGTACGAAAATATTGTTGACATGATCGGTTATCGTCCTTTGACATTAATGAAATACTGTTGGAAATATATCACTCCTATTGTGTGTATAGTAAGTACGTGATTTACTCTGATTCATTGTGGTATTGGTCATATTAGGCAAAAAATTGCAGTTTCCACCAAAGTTATAATTTTATGGAAGAAAATCAGTGCTCTTTATTATGCATTCAGCACTAATTTAATACATGTCTTTGCTTCTTTAGGGCACATTTGTCTTCTCTTTGGTCAAATTCACTCCTCTAAAGTTTAACAACACATTTGAATACCCGTGGTGGGGTTATGTGGCTGGCTGCTGGTTCACCCTCTCCTCAACATTGATGGTTCCCATATGGATGATCTATATTGTCCTCATCACTCCTGGTACATTGAAACAGGTAATTCCATGCATGATTTAACAGTAAAGAACACTAAATTACATTTAAATGTAAAAAGAAGCCATGTTCAAAGCACTGAACTTGCAACTATATGCTTTCACCTTTTTTTAGAGACTGCGTGTCCTTTGCACTCCAGCAAGTGATTTACCTTTGACATCAGAAAGACAAAAAGAAACCCTGTGACCACGACAGAAAGTACAACATGTCCAATGACTGATAAAGAAACATTGGGGGGAAAAACATCCATGGGCTGTATTTAAGACAACTTTTGATATCAATTATGCCTTTGAAGATACACATTCTCGTGAGATCTCAAGAAAGCACAAACACAAACTGTTCATGTCTGTTTTATAAGTTTTTTTATTTTACTATCTTAGATTCTCAATTGCAAGCATCTAAATGTAGATTTAAACTGGAAATGAAAAATATAAGCTTGACTTACACGTTTTGCTGTATCTGAGGAAAACTCAGTTTGAGATCATTCTTAAGTGTGATAGCGTCAACAACTTGTTGTATCATAAATGTTCATACAATATAAGTTTTTCTGAAGAAATATTAATTATAAGTAAGCTTACACTTATTCTAAGTTAGATCCACTATTGTATGCTGTTGCCGTATGGCAACATATCATAAAGTACCTTAAAATAATATTTTTTTCAAAAATTTTTTTTACAGCACTTCAAGTTAAGCCATTCTTAGAAAAGAAAAAGATTCAAATATTTTTTTCTATAGGTCTATCATAATGCGTGCGGTAGAGGGTTAAATCATACAAAATATTTTTATATTTCAAAGTGTTTGCATATAATGACAAAGGCCCCTATATTTACACTACATCACTGACAGTTTTTCCAGAGGCCTTTTGTCCCAGATTGGGCATTTGGGGTAAAAGGTCCCTATAGCTGCTTTTTGTAATATGATTTTTAATTGAAACAAACTTCCTTTACCATTGCCATAAAGATAGTTTCATCTTCAATAGTTCGTCATGCATTTTGGGACATTTTCTACAGTATTAATATATACTGGATAGATAGATAGATAGATAGATAGATAGATAGATACATAGATAGACAGAAAGAGACAGACAATTAAACTACTTCAAGGGTTGGTGAGATTTTCTTTAAAGTTTTTGAAAGAAGTCTATTATGCCCACCGAGGCCAAAGTACATTAAAAGTCATATTATAAAATATTACAACTAACTGTTGTAATATTACAGATAACCGTTTTCTACTTTAATGTTTTACAATATAAATTTATCTCTGTGATGGCAAGCTGAATTTTCAGCATCATTACTCCAGTCTTCAGTGTATAGCGTCAACAACTTGTTGTATCATAAATGTTCATACAATATAAGTTTTTCTGAAGAAGATAGCAAAAAAAAAAAAAAAAGATCATGATGCAGTGGACCCAACCCTATTTTGGATGGACCAATGCTCATTACAGTTGGTATATGATTAGAAAATGTTGGATAATGTGTTATTTTCAGTAAGAGAGACTAACCATAGCAGCTCACTATGACAGACTTTGTGCGTTGTAAAAGAAGTACAAGGCACCTTCGGTTCATTTCAATCAAATGTTAGGGTGTAACAGTATTTTATAACAGCAACACTTTTTTTTAGGTTTCTGTGGGTCAGTCATGCAACACTTTGCTGTTTTGTGCCTATAGTCAAGTGCTGGTGTTTTGAGAAAGTGTTACAGAAAGTAAATTACGTTGGGGGTTTTGTATTACAAATATTACAACATTTGTAATAGATTCAAGAAAATAGATTCACCAAGAATACCCATATTTTGCTGCTTAAATCTGCTTAGATGTTCAGTCTATATTCTAAAATCTATCATTTTAGTAAAATGCATAATTTAAGGGAATATCTATAGGTCATTCAAGCGTATGTACATTTTTATAATTGATGCACTTGAAAGGCCAGTGGTTAATGTTTTAAGAAATGCTCTTATTCAAATCAACAGTCGAATTATTGAAAATGATTGCTGGTTGAAATGGGTTGGTAACAGCAGCTTGTTTTTACTTTAAAGATTTTTCTGAAGCATCCAAGCAAATATTAAACAGCTAGGTGAAAGATGAAAGCATGTTGAATTTTGAATTCTTGGATTAAAATTGTTAAAGGATGACGTTAGACACGATTGCGGTCAGGCATGACAGACTGTCAGTTATATACTGTACTTCTGTTTTACTGAGGTATCTTAATGTGATTTATTAATGTAAATAGTTAACAGTGTAGTTGACACAATAACAGTCGATGAAAATTCTACATTTGAACTGCCATTTCATTTGCATGACCATAGGAGATTAAAGTCATATGCAGTTTAAGGGGAAAAAACTAAATCTGGGATTATATCATGATTGTGGTGGTTTTTAAAGTAAGTTTGAAACTGTTTATCATTCTCAAGAATGAAAAGCCGGTGATGGTGCTCTTCTTTAGTCTACAACTGGGTTAAAGGCTAAAGGCCTCCTTTTGCAAATACACACTCTAGCCAAAAAGACCACCCAAACACTGGCAGAGGATGAAAAAGTAGAATGTTTGGACTGCTAAACACTGTGTTCCCGAGGAATAGTGGGGAATGGATTTCTTGTGATTTGAATTTTAATTTATTATAATGTAGATTCATTTGTGAATTATGCCTGTACACATTTTGTACACAGTTTGGTTTCTAAAGCAGTAATTATAGGAGTAATGAAATGCCAAAATGATTAAATAAACAGCAAATTTCTACACTATTTGCTAAAGTGGTTATTTTGAAGTAAGTATTTACTTAACCCTCTACCGCATGGTGTAGCCATATGGCAACATAATAAATTTATCTCTGTGATGGCAAGCTGAATTTTCAGCATCATTACTCCAGTCTTCAGTGTCACATGATCCTTCAGAAATCATTCTAATATGCTGATTTGGTGCTCAAGACACATTTCTTATTATTATCGATGTTGAGCTGCTTAAGTTTTGTGGAAACCATGATACTTTTTTTCAAGATTGATAAAGTTCAAAAGAACAGCAATTACTGTGTTTGAAAAAAAGCTTACTGACCCCAAATTTTCAAACAGTTCTGTACATACAATATTTCTAAAATAGCATGTTCATAGACTTGCCACTTCTACAACAATTTCAGAGTTTGTAAATGTCTAAAGTCAGACATTGACTGCAAACAACTACAAAAACACAGGACACTTAAACAGTTTTCTTTGAATATTTATTGACAGGCCTGCTGTAATGCATCAAACTATAAACAGAAAAAAGTTAACAAACCGTTTATTATTATTAATATTTTTTAAATTGTCTGAAATATGGGGAACATACTGAAAGACATGCAAACCGCACTAGTTAGTATTTGATCAAATAAACAAGTGGGTTTTAAGAAAAAAGTTCTTTGAAATATTCCTATCTTGTCAAACGATTTGATTAAAAAGACAAAAAAGCATTTGAGCTTTTAACTGTAATGGAAACGCAGCTCAAAAATATAGCTATTGAATTTCAGTCAAGTATATATCTACTGGGTTTCAGGTTGAAACTAACCTGCAGATACAGTCCCAAATCGAGGACGTTCCCAGGATGCAGTAAAGAAGCATGCACAAGTCTCTTAAAAGTATCAAAAGTGTGTTTGTGAGTGTGGGCCTGCCGCGACTTGACGTTTTCCCCAATGGGAGGATTGCACTTTTAGGTCCAGCTACCCACTATGGTCACTTGAATCTAAATATTATACACACTTATACAAATATAATACAAAAAAGCATCAAGCCCCCAGTCCACATCCCACCACTGCAAACTTAAACTAATCTGATTATGCACAAAGTCAATGCAATTACACTGAACACTGTACAGTACATGGTAAGGTACTAGGTTATATTCAAGTCTGTAAAGCTTTTGCATTAATGCAGCGGGTGAACGCCTTTCTGATAGCCAAGGCATGCACCGTACAGGTTTACTGGTGGTCACAGAATTGTGCGCTTTGGTTTTTGTTGTTGTTTGTTTTTGTCATTGTAGGAATGTCATTAAGGTCTGAAGCTCCTCAACGTCGATAAACCATTATGCAAATCCTTCCCAGCATTTGCTTTCAGTCTGAGAAATAATGAGGTCCGAGGTCAAGGTGTATAGAGGGCTCATCCATGCCTCTACCCATGGCCTCTCTCATGATGCAATTGAGGATGGACCAGCCATCTCCACAGCCTGACCTCCTTGCTTTGGGTGTCCTGAATACGTCTCAAGTTTTAGGAGCCGTCCTGACTGAGACGAGGTCTCTTTAATCCCTGCTTATTCTGATCTGAAATTCCACTGTCTTCTTTTTTCCTTTTTAATCGTCCCACCTTACAGAAACAACATATATATAAAAACAATAAATATATCAATTATTAAAATGATAGTTTTCCCAAAAATTAAAATATTAAAATAATCAAACCTAGATTTAACCTCTAATCTATATTTTTTCTTCCATCAATAACCTTTTTTTGAAGAAGAACAACAACATACAGTTCTGGAATACAGAACTTCTGGAATCAAAATGAACTGTACTTAATTTAATGTATTCAGCATTGTTCTTATTATATATGTATATATTAAATACATACATTACATTTGCATTAAACCCATATGCAAATGTAATATATGTACACATTAATTTTCCATATATGAAATATAGTCATATGAATTAAAAACATACAGTATATAAAACATTAGAAATTGGAACGATTTAATATACATCTATATGAATATGAATGTATGTGTAATACATACATGGACATGTACATGTATATCCATCATAAAACCTGTCAATACATGTTGATATTATATAAGTAAATTGAAAAGATAGACGTGTATTTTAAAAAATTACAAAAACAACTTTTTTTGTATATTTTAAGTTGCATATATACAGTATAACTAAAATGGATATTGTTGACTAATATATAGTTATATATTATAAATTATATGTGTGTGTGTGTGTGTGTGTTTGTGTGTGTGTGTGTGTATGGTTGCTACATAGTGCCATATAAAAACTCATCATATGCATTTTAACATATTAAAGGGGTCATATGATGCGATTTCAAGTTTTCCTTTCTCTTTGGAGTGTTACAAGCTGTTCGTGAATAGATAAGATCCCTGAAGTTGCAAAGACTAAAGTCTCAAATCCAAAGAGATATTCTTTATCAAAGTTAAGACTCTGCCACGCCCCCCTAAAACGGCTCGTTCTAACACTCCCCCACATATCTACCTCACTATGTGGAAATATTTGCATAATGCGCCCAAATGTGCACGCAAAGAAAGAAGGCGTGGCTTCAGTAACCGCAGTTAGTGTTGAAGCAGCCATGTCAGGGAGACCCTGTGTGTTTCTAGGCGAAAACAAAAGCACTTTATTTGGCCTTCCGAAAGTAGATGCACTTAGGAATCTTTAAGATCACTTACAACAGAACAGCAATGCATTTTATGGACGACCGTTTCGTGAACCTAGGAGAGGAGGTAATTCTGACTTTGCTATGACAATCTGGCACTTCTGAATCAGCGACTGTAAGTATGTTT